GAAAAGGCAACTAAAATCTGCGATTAATGCTGAGCCTTTGGAATAGGCTTCTTACAGGTTCGCTGTTTCACGTGTAGTAACTGTATGTTGTCTGATGGTTACCCCATGGTTTAATAACACAAATCATTGTGTATTTTCATCTGTTTTCAAGTTCTAATTTTACTGAAGTTCCTCAAATTAGTGTTTCCCAACCTATTTGTGGCAAGGCTCTTTAGTCATTCATGTTATCAAATGTAAAGGACTCTGTAAGCTGCCCGTTTTTTTTAATTATTTTTTTTGTTTTTTATTTTTGGCAACCATTCCATGACACCCACCAAAATTAACCCAAATTTGAGAACCACGGTCATGAAAAACAAAGCAGTAGCCTGTGAATATTTCAGAAAGAACTTTGAAGAATTTTTGCTTCAAAATGCAAAATGTTTAAATGTGACAAGGGGTTAAATCCTTTTGTATACTTTTGCTTTTTGTTTGTTTCTTATACAAGGTTGTACAGAGAGAGAGGCAATGCAGAACTCCCTGCGCAAGTAAAAGAAAATATGAAAATATTCTATTAAAAGGACAAAAAAATGGTTTAAAACTAATGTCCAAGGGTAATGACCATGCAAAATGTTTAAGTGTATATGTGAGTTGTGCTGTTTGTATTCCATAATATTTGTGTCTTTAATTTTTCACAAGCTTGTGTTTTTTAGTAGTTGCTCAATATGTTGAAACATTGAGAAAACTTCTCTGGCTGAGTTATCATATTGTGAAATTGAGAACGTAACACCCCTGTTTTGGAGTGATCAGGACACAGGAAGTTCAGAGCTAGTGTGACTGTTTGCATCCCATAGGGCTTGAATCTGGCCTTGGCCATGCCTCTGAACCCTAGCAGTGCTCCAGTGAACATCTGGTTTCAGTGCTGAAATACTCTTTGCCTGATCCCTGAGAGCGCCCACCACCATGTTAGTAAGATGAACGGTCTTTGTTTGCAAAACGGCTATACATTCTCTTAGCTGTGACTCGCTTTGTCAAACGTTTGTCTTGTTTTGTGAGGATGTGGGGGTGGCTTCAGAAATGAGAGCCCAGTGTCTACGGCTGTTGGCAGTGAAGTCCCTTCAGTCATTCATGCATGTCTTTTGGCCCTTTAACACTTATTTGTTTCATTGCAGAGCGGTTTAATAGGAGTCCTTGTGGTTTCACTATCAACAGTTGTGCATTTTTTACTGTACCTTTTTTTGACTAAAATAAATAAATACAAAAATACATAAAATAAGCAAGATTGGCTTGTTTCGGCATGTTTGTTTCAGTTCAGCTAAAGTGGTTCCTGGTCATACACAGTAGTTATGCACAAAAATAAAGATCTCTTCAGCTCCTTTTAAAGTGGCTTTTTCTTTGGGGTTTTTCTCTTTCGGTTGAAAAATCTAAATGACCATTTTTGACCATTTTTTGCCAACAATTTTCTTATATTTAAGTGTTGCAACACTGGGGCTTTTTTCTCAATTCCTAATTAATCTTATCAAACCTTATTAAAACTATTGTGATGCATATTGTGTACTGTGAACATCTGTTTTTGTCACGTCACTCGCCTCATAAATTTAAGTGAAAAGTGCTGCATCAACTCCAGTTTACTTACAGACATCATAAGTTCATTGTTTACCTTTTTCTAGTCATGCTATAATTGTCCTGGTCCACAGGAAAGCTAGTGCTTTTAAATCCACACATCCCAGCAGTGTGTTATGACTCAGAGGCAAATTAAGGTAAGGGCATGGCCTGAAAACTCTAGGATAAAAGTTGTGGTGAAATACACAGCTGTTCTGGTGCCAACAATTTATATAGAGTAGAATTTGAACGGCTCATTAGAAACGTGAGCGTTTACCAGATTTGCCTGCTGCATTGTTGAAAAATGCCTTGCACTCACTGGTGTGAGCTTTGCTCCTGTGTGTCTTGAACACTGCAAGTGCAGCGTTGGCTGGTTTCATGGACAAACTCATTAGTATGTACAGTTGAAAGTAAAGTTTAACTTGTACTTTGTGGTTCGTCAAGCGTGCTGCTAACTTTGTTAGGTTTGCTTTTATCACATCTTTAATCTTGAGAAGTCGTTGGCCGGTTCATTCCTCTTTTTTTGTTTATTAGTAACTTTAGATTCGTTGTCCAATCCAACCTGCTGTGAACTGTTTTCTCCCTCTTAAGTGAACTTTTACCTTGGCAGCTTGATGTGTAGGCAGGGGTCTCGTGAAAGTTAGCAGGTTTGTCATCATGGTAGTCTCCACAATACACTCGAAGACAGCTCTGATGGAATGGTCTGTTCCAGTCTCAATAAACTTCCTTCTGCTCTAGCTTTTTTGTTTGGCCTTTATCTCCACATAACTCGGCCTATTTGCTTAACGCACGGTTGTTCCTCTCTTTTAGTTTTTGCAGATTTGTTTGGAGAGCAAATTCTTTGCTAAAGCAAACACAGCCCACCGCCCCCCGCTCTGCACCCCCTGTGGCTGTGCTGAAAGATGGTGTCATTTTCTTCGTACAAAATGAATGACATCTCTCCATACTATTTCCCTTCAGTCGTCATTTACAGTCATCTTGAACATGCCTAGCTTGCTCGGGCTTGATAAATATGTTCGTACATGTTCAGTCTTTTTGCTGGGGGACCCAGGCTGCTTGAAGGTGTGAAAAAAAGACCCACACTAAAGCTGTCGCCCCCTTGCTTCTACTGCACAATTTAGAGCGGTGTTTCATATCCACCTGTTTGATTTCAGAACATGAGATGCAGCCTTTCAGGTCTTGTTTTTCAGTTGTTTGCTTTTTCACCATTATGTTTGATGAGAGGGAGGGGTGATAAAAGATATGTTGCATTATTCATTCATTTATTCATTCATTCATTCATTCATTATTCATCAATGTTTCTGACGAGTATAAACTCCACCTGGCTTGGATGAGAGGATGTAACTGGCAGGCAGACCAACATTTGCGTCATAGTGTTTAGTTTATCTGTGTGATGCAGGTTTTTTTTGCCTAAAGTAAAATCGTCAGTCTTATTTTCAAATGTGAAGATGCACTAAATTCTGATTCCATGTCCACTGTGGCTCTAAATAAAAAAAAAATAAAAAAAATGTGCTGGGAATGGAGCTAATAATAGACGTGCAGCTCCACTATGGCACTGCCCCCTTCCGGCTATTTACAGACGTGTGCAAGCAACTTCCAGTGGTGTTCTTCAGGCCCTAATAATCAAAAGCACATCTATTTGTATAGTATTCAGTGTTGGTTTAAAGAACTGTTAAAACAGTTTTAATACATTTCTATAAACATGTATGCAAATTATTCTTTGGCTCTGTATGAACAGGGCATGTGTATGGGTACTCAAGTACTCGAGTAACTGGTTGAGGTGCCAGTATTCGGGTATTCGTCATGTTTTATCGTGGGAAGACAGTTCAGAGAAATATAGAGGCCAACAATTCAGCGAAACATGACATTTTTGCTAGTATTTATGTCTAAGTATGTTATGTTGCACTTTGCTGCTCCAGAACAGCAAAGAGTACCTGAACGTGAGCACATTGCCAAGGATGTGTTATTAAGGACGTGACTGAGAAAGCTGTTATAACGCGGCTCTATCCAGGCGTACCAGGTGAACCAACTGTTAGCTAGAGCCAAAAACAGTGAAAATATTTTCTCTGACAAATAACATGTGGGCACATCATCCATTGAGGAGAAACATACCTCCTGTAGAGGTCATTGAGACATCATCAACATCTATGTGGCACTTGTTAGCTTTATTAGCTTATCACACAAAATGGACGTTTTCCCTCGGCTGTTTTGAATAACAGAACCTGCTCCTCTCTCTGTTTGCTGCTATATTTCTGAATGAACTGTGAAGCATTTTGTCACGTATGCATTCTACAGTATGAGTTAACTAGTGACTAATCATATATAAACAAAAACTCTTGAAGTTTCGGAGGATCTAATGTTCAGCCTTAAAAAACTAAAATAACTAACAAAAAAATAAGAGAAATACTGGTCATTGTAGTAAGTGTGTTAAGTGTTTTCAGGTGAAAATGTTGATCTGTCTAGTCTTTGTGATTAATGAAATAATCAAAGTTTTAACGTTAATCTCTGCATGGGGGTTCTAGAAGGTCTATATCTATGTGATCATTTCTCCATCTGGTTGAGTTAATTACCTGCAGTCACCTACAGGCAACGCTAAACTGTACACTGGTTATAAATAAGTGCATATAGTTCTTGGTTTTGCTTTGTCTGCGTCTGATCTTCATCCCTCCAGCTAACAGATGGTGCCAATTCTGTCTGACTAATGTTTATGCCTGCATTCTGCGCCCTTCATGTCAGAACAATGTCTTCCCTGTCTGCATCTGTACTGTAAAGTCTTCATGTTTTATGATCTCTAGTTCATCTTCTGGTTATCTGTGCATTTCCCATGCAGGACTGCTTACTTTGCTTATATATTACAAGGCTCTAATCACTTTCTTACATGTTCTGTGTAGGTTTTTTTTCTTATTTATTTATTTTTTGTTTTCTTTTTTATTCAGTCATATGCTGCTAAAACTTGTTTATAGAACACACCCACTGTGTTTCCATTGACAGTCAGTCCCACTGGCTGATGCAATCTAACTGCACTTTGCGGTGTCTGTTTGAACACTCTAGGTGTGGGTGGTATGACGATATTGTTATCACAATAAATTATGTGGTGATAAGCTTTTCAAGCATATCGTGGGTGTCATTAGCACTTTCACAACAGAGATCAATGACATGGTGCATTATAAAGAGATTTAGCTCCCAATGGCATAGCTGTCTAAGGTTTCACCCTGTTGTTAGGACATGAATTTGAATCCCAGCAATGCTGAATGTCCAAGATAGAATCGATAGTCTTGCTTAACTGGGGAAAAATATTATTGTACTTGCAGTTTTTTTATTTTTAAAAAATTTGACACTTTTCTATGTGCTGTGTTTCACAAAATCTCTCCAGTTATTGTGATATTTTTGCCATATTGTTCATCATCTGATCTCTTCTACAGGCAAGGCCTTTGACATCACCTACGTGCGTCTTAAGTTCCACACCAGCCGCCCAGAGAGCTTTGCCATCTACAAGCGTACCAGCGAGGATGGTCCCTGGATCCCATACCAGTACTACAGCGGCTCATGTGAGAAAACCTACAGCAAGGTGAACCGTGGCTTCATCCGCACTGGAGAGGATGAACAGCAGGCGCTTTGCACAGACGAGTTCAGCGACATCTCACCACTTACCGGAGGAAACGTGGCCTTCTCCACACTCGAGGGTCGGCCAAGCGCATACAACTTCGACAACAGCCCTGTGCTGCAGGTAAGGCCTTAGCATTTGTCCCGTCCCTCCCATTGTCCAGCTGAAATTAGCAGGTAGCCTTTCCTTTCGTGACTCTCTGTTCGGTCGGTTACCAATCGAAATCGGACGACAAAAGTGGATTGAAAAGCTAAAAACTAGCTGATCACAAATACCTTATTATGCGAGGCAAAGTTACAGCTTGCGTGGTGGTTATACAAAACCTAAAACAGACATTTGAAAAAGATATTCTTACTTTGTTTTGCAGTTTCTCTGGAGTCAAGTGTTCATTGCGTTCAGTGATTTGCCAACAATGTCTCATAGTGCCTAAGCATTAAACCCTTTCAGCGCCAAGCTATGCCCCAGTGCACAGTGATGATCTTGCTCTATAGGTAGAGACATTATAGACATATTTATAGGTAGAGCTCTTCTCAAAATTGTAGGTAGTATGTTGATGGCCTAAATCACACAAAGCTGAATTCACACTCTTATTTACCAGCTTGTAGTTCCTCCTTAAATTGTGCGGCAGTTACATTCTGGCGCTTCAGGCCTCTGCCTACTCGGGCACCATTTAAAGTGAAATGGGAAAATTCTAACAAGAAGCTGGCGAGCAGAAAGCTGACTTCAGCCTTGTCTAAATCATCAGAAAGTGCTACTAGTATTAAAACTGCTCTTTGGATATGTTGATTTTCCAGTTACCCTATCAAAAAAAATACACAAAGTTTGCACTGCACAGAGTTAAGCTCCCATTGGGAAATTAAACATTCTCCAACCATCTTCTCTGCGTTTGGTGGAGTTTACAGCACAACAACTCTGTCATTGTTACCTTGTGCCGTAAAGAGCGCTGCTTTTTGCCATAAAGAGTGCCGCTTTCTGTTGCTTTCTGCCCCCTTGTTGTGTGCGCATCTCTATTTTATATTATTTACAGGCAACTGTAAATAATAATAAATCAAATGTTAATTATTGTTTATAATTACTCTTTGCTAGGCATTTCTCATGCACATTACAATGCACATATTTTTTTAAGGGGTACTTTAAAATGCGCACTCCGAATTTAGAGAAATGTTTTACATTTCAGTAATGCAGTTCATTACAAGGCATAACGTGATGTTGTAAAACATTACAGATTTAGTTGCAGAGCTTTTGATACACGTGTAGTCATAGATGTGTTTTGTATGCATTGTGAGTCTATAACCCCTTTTACACCTGGTCATTTCATGCATCTTGAGTATCAGGATTATAGCTGGATATAGCTGAGAAATACAAGTGTAAACGCACCCACGCGTAATGAGCAGATTTGCATATTATGTCCCACACAGCAATCAGATTTCAGACTAACCGGAGATGCATTTGACTACCAATTGTAAATGCATGTGGCAAAAATCTTACCAGGAAACAATTCAGACACTAGTCACATGAAGTAACCAGGTGTGAACGTGGTCTATATGTGTGCGTCGTGCACGTGTGCTCAGCATGTGTTCTGCTGCTTAACGTCTGTCATTTTTGGGAATCCATAACATCATAATTAAAAAAAAATGGAAGAAAATGTCAAAAAAGGCAGTTTAATGGTTTGGACATCCAGTTTTCACTCTAGGATGGCTGATATTTTTTGGGGTGTTTCTGAAAAGAAAAAAGTTTGTCTGGAGCCCTGCGGACAGATCATCCTTAAGGCCTCAGCATACTTCTTGCGAAACAAAATTCTAGAGGGTTGTGGGAAGCCGGAAGTGCCTTCCTGAGCATACAAGTTCTCATACAGTCAGCGGTTTCGTGTTGCTTGTCGCGGATGCTCCACCGTGACGCTATGACATTTTATGATAAGTTTCATGACTGCTGGAAAATGATTCTTTCACAGTTCTTACTATGGCGACGTTGGAGTTCAGAATATTGCCACCATGTAAGGTGGAACGGGAGAATTCAAACAAGAGGCTGGTGAATAGAAAGCCAACTTTAGCCTCGACCTCGTGTGAACCTAAATATAAGAGAACCTGTATGTTTTGGTGCTTAGTACTAGTTAGTACTACCGAATAACACACTTACTATCTTACATTTAGGAGATATTCATAGTTTATTTAACAAATGCGTGTTTCTCAGTAAAATATTATGTGTGTCTGCTGAAGCTCAAAGTCATCCATCTTTGTTTAATGGCTCGCCTCTTTTTTACCGACCAATCACAGGCTCTGTCGCGTAGTGTCTTCGTCCACGGAGTTCGCCCAGCTGCCATGTGTGCGTCACGGCGAACGAAGCCTCCGCACGATGTCTGCGGTTGTTTGTTTTCTTTGCAGTTACGTCACATTGTTTGCTGAAGCCAGACGAACGTCGTCTCTGCAAGAAGTCTGCTGAGGCCTTTAATATTCGCCAAAATGTGTTAAACTTTCTGCTGAGTCATTTACTCTGTCTTACCTTCTCTCTCTCACTTGCACACTTGCTTTCTTTCTTGCTTCTTCTTTCATTTTCTTTTTCTTGCTCTCTCTCTCTTTGGCTCTCACGCTCACACTCAGACACAGCCTAAAATTTCATTCAGAATTCTAGACATAATAACAACAGTGATAATAGGAAGGGAGAAAGAAAACTGGCATGCGCGCATAAACTAAAGAGTGTTTATTGTTGTGTGATACCCTTTTTTTTTTTCTTTCTTTTTATTCTTTTAACAAGCTGGATTGTGCCACTTGAGGCCTTTTGTAGTAAAAAACAAACCACCCACAAGTTTTAGGTCTATGGGAATAAGACGTCAGTGAATGAGGTTTCTTACTAAAAGGTTTTCCTTCTAGCAGTTTGAGTACCTGCTGTCCTCCCCAAAGGCTACTGTGGGATGCAAAGTACATTTGCACACATATAAGCCCTCTTAGACACTGACTCTCAGTGACGGAGAGCTGTAATAGCAAGTCAGTGAGTCATCTGCAGCCCCCTCCATGGAAATGTTAGTCACGTCTAGAGAGTGGCAGGACAGTGGAAGTGACTGTGGTTCTGATTTGGAATGAAAGGAGACTGGGTAAGGAGGATGTGGGGGAGGAATACAGACAAGGGAAGACGAGACAGGAGATAAGTGAAGTTCGTGCTGCCAGCTGGTAGCAGTGGTGGTAGCTGAAGGAAAGCATTCCTCCTCTGGCCAGGTGGAGCCTCTCGCTCGCTGACCGCTGCCAAGAGTTGCAACATGTTGCTAGGTGACACCCCCAGGTTTCCCAACCCTGCTCTGATTGCACTTGGCAGCATACAGGCACAGCTGGAAGTGTGTGTGTGTTCTGTGTGTGTGTTCTGTGTGTGTGTTCTGTGTGTGTGTTCTGTGTGTGTGTGTGTGTGTGTTCTGTTTGTGTGTGTGTGTGTGTTCTGTTTGTGTGTGCACTGTGTGCCAAATGGATCTATGAAACGTGGAGCTTATTGACATTTTATTGTGGAGAAAAAATGTGTGACTTTGTGAAATCGTCTTGCAATCCAGTCTTCTTATACAGTGCCTATACAGTATCTTGCATTTACTTTGACATTAAATTAATGGCTAACTGGATATTTAGAGCTTGTCAGTGGAATTTTTAATGGAATAATATTTTTTACATATTGCAGCAGTCAGTGTACCATTCACTTAAGAGTTACATTTTCCCAGCAGCCATCAGTTACAGGCTTTTTTCTGAGATGTGGACGCTGAACACTCGTAGTTGTCCTGGAATACCTGTTCACATACCACAAAACCACATTTCAGCCAAAACACAACATTAGAAACATTAGCTTGTATTAAAAACAGTTGTAAAGAAAATAAAATGGTGGCTAATGCCAAGAAAAAAAAACCTAGGTCTTACTGAGAGAAGAAGAAATTACTTACCTTAGACAAGTGGATTGTGGTCTTTTCAGTGGGTTATATTGAAATAAAAGACATTGTTCGGGTCTACACCATGTCTTCGTTTTCGACATGTGTTTAACCCAGTGAGATCAGTCAGATAACATTTCAGTTTGCTATTATTCTCCTTACAGACTGTGTTTAACGACTGATAAAAAAGCCTCAAACATATCGAAGTCGTCATCTTTTACAGTACTAACAAAGATGCCGGATAAGAACTGAGCCAGGCAGCAGATCAAACCATCCGTTTTTATATATACAGTTTATAGTTTCACTTGAGAAAAATATGTCAAGGAAGGCTTAAAGACATAAAATAAGCCTGTAATTGTCCTATTAATATACCTAAATAATCCTGAAGATTAAAAATTTTGTGCATTTGTAATATCCGAGTGCAGACATTGTTTAGTTAAAAAAAAGTTGTTGTTGTTGTTGTTGTTGTTGTTGTTGTGATGAATTTTGTTGTTTGTTTATGCTTTAGAGTCAGTGCACCCCTCCCTCCACTCCTCACCTCAGTACCAAAATATATGTCAAGTCTGTAGGAAAGACTGGACAGTATCTTATTATGTGTGATGAATAGGCAGTATATCTTGCTGACCTTTTGGAAAGATCACATTCTGTTTTTTTGCCATTGGGCTAGGTGTATTGTTGGTTTAACCTCTAACATGCGACAGTCTACCTCCACAAAAAGCACACATTTAGCCCTGTCGCCAGATACTTCCATATTAGACTTTCTCATGTGGCATTAAGCTATTAATACCAAAGCCAAGACCTCTTTATTTAGGAATGGATACCTTTCTGTGGCGTCATATAGCCATCCTGTCTGCTCCATAATAGAAGTGATGAGTGAAGACAGCACTAAAGGTTTGCTCTGCAACAAGCAGCCATGTAGGCTTAAATAACCTTCATCATTTGCTTAATTTATTTCTTAAATTCTAAAGCAAACTGTGATTAGTAACAGAATGAAATACTGCTGTTACACAAACCACTGCTCATACAGATATAAGGTGACAATACGAGAAGCATAGCCTAGTCACATTATTCTAATTTGGAAGGTAAATCTTTGAGTTGTGCTGGTTAAAAGCACTCCCATGGTGCAGATTATTCTGAATATAATGAGAATTTTTCTGACAAGTGTAATATAAATTTACATAAAATAAATTTAAGATGATCTTCAAACTTTCACTTGAGCCGTTTATTCCATCTCTCTCAGGATTTGATGTTGACTGCTAATTTGTGGGATACTGAATTATTGCTATGTGCTCAAGCATGTGGTTGGCCCATGTGATAATTTATGCAGTGATATGTGTGTTTAACGCAGGCTGAGAGTTTTCTGGAGCAGCATGCATATCATAATCTCAGCTGGACAGTATCCCGGTGCAGGGGGGAGTGCAGGGGGACTGTGGAGTGGGAAAGGGGGGGTTCCTCTAAGGTGTCTTTCCTTCCTCTGAGCTATTTTTTGTTTTAGGACTCTATGTGACTGCAGTACTGTACTCCTGTACTACTGTACTCCTGCTTCACTGCTCTTCAGATCAGAAACTTTGTCTGCATTACGCTTTTATAGGTTTTATTAGCTGTTGTACTGAGAATGCTGAGATTTCTGAGAATTAACTTTATTCTTAACAGTTCATTTTCTCTTATAAGAACCATATACACTCACCTAGCACTTGGTTAGGAACATTATAGTAATACTGGGTAGGGATTCCCTTGGCTCTCAAAACAGCCTCAATTCTTCGTGGTGTGGCTTCCACAAGATGCACAAAGGATGCTTTTGAGATTCTGGTCCATGTTGACATGATTGCATCATGCAGTTTCTGCAGATTTTTCAGGTGTGCTTTCATGCTGCGAATCTCCCGTTCTACCACAACCCAAAGGTGTGGCTATTGGATTTAGATCTGGTAATTAGGAAGGCCACTCAAGAAGTCATTGTCATGTTCATGAAACCGTGACAATTTCTGATCCTAATATCTGTGTGCATCAGTAGAAATCAAGATTCTTCAGACCAGGCTACGTTTTTCCAGCTTTTAGCTGTCCAGTTTTGGTGAGCCTGTGCTCACTGCAACCTTAGCTTTTTGTTCTTGGCTGACTGAAATGGAACCAGACATGGTCTTCTGCCGTTGTAGCCCGTCTGCCTCAAGGCTCAATGTGTTGTGCATTCTGAGATGCCTTTCTGCTCAACACAGTTGTACAGAGTGGTCATCTGAGTTACTGTAGCCTTTCTGTTAGCTCAACCTAGTCTGGCGATCCTCCGTTGAGCTCTTTCACCAACAGGGCATTTTCATCCGCCGAACTGGCGCTTATTGAATGTTTTTTATTGTTGCACCGTTCTGAATAAACTCTAGGGGCTGTTGTGTGTGAATTCCAGATGATCAGCAGTTACAGAAATACTCAAACCAGCCCGTCTGGCACCAACAATCATGCCACAGTCATGATTGTTGGTGCGCTGGTGTTGAGTTCACCAGCGCAGCTCAACAGTCGCATTACTCCAACCATTTCAGAAATTATATCACAGCGCCATATATGTTTCATTTCGTTAAATTCCGTTCATGTGTGGGAGTCTTAGTGTCGTGCTGTGGGTTGCTTGAAGCAGATCAATACATTGCCAAACTATTGCTTAAACCTGTAGTAAAGGAGTTTTTACTGTTACTGAGGGCTGCTGCTGCTTTAACTCTGACAGTCATCAAGCACACATACTTAAATTAGACTGAAATGCCCGTGCATAACACAGAGTACTGACACTGAAAAGCTTGTGACTCAAGCTTAAGTAAAAGTGTGTGTGAAAGAAGGAGGAGAAGAGAATTGTAGTGGCTTTGGCACCATGTTTGAACAGAAACATGCACTAATTTATGACTGTGTGTCATGGATAAAATGTCAGAATGAATTGAAGGCTTTATATTGGTTTCCACCAACTGCATTTTTGGGGGGGGCTAGATTTTTTGAGTATGTTGTCTTTCCATTGGTGATACAGGGTGAAACTGCAAATGGCTACATATACCTGAAACCCAGTAGACTTTCTATCCACTGTATAATGGAAACTGTCCTCTGAGTAAAGCTATTTGGATAAATTTAGGTTGAGGTCAAATGACAAAATCTTTTTGTTTCCTCTTAAAGTCTAAACAACAATTAGTCTTGTCTACCCAGCTGTGTTCTATTGTTTAGGCCATTCATTAAAGTCCTTTCAACAAATTACCACATGGGAATTGACTGTCCTAAACCCATATTTTAGATGTATAGGAAATACAGAATGGTTTTCATTTGGTCATCCGTTTCCCATTGAATCTTTCCACGGCCAGCCTGCAGACATGTTTTGCTTCACTGTCTCCTTGAGACTTTCAGGGTTGATTTAGATTAGAGCCCTGTATTTATTTTCCTCAAACAGCTGCAGTGAGGGAGCAGATGGTTTCTAGTCCACCATTGCAAAATGCAACCACTCTCTTACACCGATAAGCATTCCACAAGAATTAAAATGCTGCAATAAACTTATCTAGCTGTTAACTTTTGGTATCTCTCTTAGTTGACTTAGTTCCCTACATACATTTCTTTCTTACTTTGCTTTGTCTGTGCAACACAGTTCGTATCTATAACATTCTTGCTCTCATTCTTATGTCCTCAGGACTGGGTGACTGCAACAGACATCCGAGTGACCCTCAACAGGCTGAACACATTCGGAGATGAAGTCTTCAATGATCCGAAAGTCCTCAAGTCCTACTATTATGCCATCTCTGATTTTGCTGTGGGAGGAAGGTGAGACTTTTAAGTAGTTTATCATAAATGTTACGATGTGTGTTGCTTCACTTATCATTAAGAAGTATTCACATTTCAAACATGTTGGAGTCATGTGAAATGGACATATAGCAAAAACTAGCCTTTTCAGTCTTAGACTTTTAGCCCTGATTTCATTAGTAGCTCATGTGTGAGTTGCAAACTAGAATTGCCAGCCTTCTAACAGAACAGTACCCCCCTGCTGTATATTTTGGTCTTATCTATTTAGTCCAGCATAAAGAAAACATTAAGACTACTGCAGCCGTCTAAATACCACACACTGGATAACAAGCACTGCACAGCAGACAGTACAGAGCATAGCTGGAGCACATTGCAGATAAGCACATATAAACACGCAGTGCTAGTATAGATTTAATAGAATAAAGCTTACAGTAATACTTAGTGAATTTCACAGATTTGGTGTTAACTAACTAACTCTTGAGTTTACTGTTTTCAAGATGAAAGATACAAGGTGACATAAGTTACTGAGATAATCTGGTATAACAGATGCTTCTGGCATGTGACTTTAGATGGATGCTTTCTTGGTGTAAATTTCAAGCTACGCCATCTACTCTGGATTTGTGGCTTTAATATAGTACAGTAATTAATGGATGCTGAGTGGCATCACTTTCGCTAGTGTCTTCAGTCTGACATATCTGCTTTGCTGTAGCATGTAGATTTAAGAGTCCTAATATTGATGTATTTATTTTATTATTGTTATTTATTTTAATTATTCCTTTTTTTTAGTCTTGGCTATTTTTTAGATGAATGTATTTATTTATTTTTCAAATAAAGTCTTATAGATTTTAATATCCACAATTTTCAGGCAAATTTGTCCATTCCATTAATCAGTATGTGTAATACTTCCATTTAAGTACAGGAGCTAAAAAACAGAAAGCTATTTTTGCTGTTTTGAAGTATGATAAGCATAGTAATGAGCTCAAAATGAGTTAAAAGAATTCAATGTTAAAACAAGCTATCTTGTCTACCAGTGCGCTGCTGCCCACTCCATGTCATTTGTGTATGTTTGGTGTTGTGTCGATGGAGCAAGGTAGGTCAGCTTGCAGTCACTCAGCCTGTTTGCTTTGGCACATTCTCCCTGCTAGAATGCGCCGGGCCTGCCGGGACTGACACAGGAGTGGTAGAAGACGCTCAGGTTGGAGCAGACAGGAACAGCTTGCTTCATCCACTTTTCATCTAAGTTCGAACCAGCCCAAGAACGATGAGATAAACCCGCGGCTTAAGTTCAGATCATGCTGACAACCTGTAGGCACTTGCAAGGGCTCCAATTTAAAGTGCCCACATCCCTGAATTGGGCCAACTCCTTTTCATATTTTTATCGTACCTTGTACGGTCCAGTAAGATGCAGGATTAGGATTGAGTGTGGGCAAAGAAGGATCCGTTTAACAGGAGAGTTCAGGCCAGTGTTGAGCGACTGTTAAGCAGCTCCCTCTGAGCTCCACACCACGTCTTTTCACCTTAATCTGTTTGAAATGTGGAGCAGATTTCCATTACACAGCTCACATTCCCCACATTCCTGCCTGGGAGTGCGGGATTACGGAGCACGAAGGAAGCGGAATGGGGCGGGCTGGTCCCATGTGTATGTGTTGTGAGAGGCAGAGGTACAGACAAACAGGCACGTGTTACACCTGCTTGCTTTCATAGGGTTCCAGCAGATCCTTAAAAGTCTTATAAAGTTTAAAAAAATTTAATTTATAAGGTCATAAAATGTCTTCAAGTCTTATTTGTGTTTTTTCTACAATAGAGAGGTATTTAGTGTTTAAATGCAGACATTCAAAGCTTGTAAACGATAATTCCTGTTTTAAGACTATTTGTATATTTCATCTTGTATCAGTTTTGCAGTGGCGATCACAGTAAAGACCCCTGGCATAGAGCTGCTGCTGTATTCGTGGTCTCTACTTGTATTCGTGGTCAGTGATTTCCAGAGACCTGAAGTGACTTCACAAATTTGGTCAAAATGTGATTGATTGCACTGGAAGTTCCTAATTATGCTAGTGGTTAATCTGACATTAGGCCTTCAATCCAGCTCTGGAAATATATGTGTTTGTGAATGTGTATGTCTGTCTGTCTGCTCTGCGATGGACTGGCGACCTGTCCAGGGTGTATCCTGTCTTCCGCCCAATAACTGTTAGGATAGGCTCCAGCTCCCCCTGCGGCCCAGAAGGTTAAGGTCCATTTAGAGCAAATTCTCTCAAGCGAAGGTCTGAAACATCATGATGTCTAACTAACTTATGATTCAGTGCCATATACTGTCTACTGAAGTAGCCTAGTAGTTATATCAGCATCTTACATAGTCAACAACTGAATGTCAAATCAAATCAAGTACAACCCATTGCCTATCCAGCAAAAAAAAAAGACTAGTGTTGGATAGGGCTGCTAAATAGTTAACGACAACTAAATAGTAGCTGGCTAGTAGGAGAACAACGGTTGTAGCATTCTTGGTGAACTAAGATTCTGTCAGTTGCCTCATGCATTGATGTTTCTGCAAAATAAGTGTAAAAGAGCCAAGATGGGGATGAAAAACTCCAAATTCTGAAAAAAAAAGTTTAAAAAAAAAGTTTTACTTACAACATAACTTTGAATATGATGTAACCACTGTGTGTGATGTCTGATTGTATACCACTAGAGGCAAATGTGTCAGCCGTTGCTAAATTACAGCCAGCCATGCTTGAAAAGTGTATTAATGGTCCCAGTAACATTCTAGCGTTTGTAATAGCAACTTTGATTTCAAGTGCAAATGGTTACAAGTTCCACAGAACAGTGTTTTGATACTGTGTTATTGATTTTTGAACTTTTTTCTGGGTGATGGTGATTTAGTTAAACTTTGGTTAAAAATCAGATCTTTTGATTGACTAATAAAGTCTTTTGTCAATAACAGCTGTAGTACTGGACCTTGTTATAATTGCAGAGGTCAAAAGTAGCTATGATGTTTTCCATGTATATTAAATCACGGCTGTGTACTATGCAGAAGCCAAAACTCGAGTTTATAGTAATTAGTCTTTTGATAGACATCCTGACCCTTTATTTAGTTTAATTCTAATTCATGCATCAGCAGAGAGTGCATTCTGGCTGTGGAACACATCCTGCAGCCCTCTTCTGTTCCTTTCGTCACTTTTTCCGTGGGGCTTTGCCAAGGAACACCTGAGACAATACCCAAGAGGTGGCTGCAGCCACACAAGTCCTCTCTTGTTCGGTTGGGGCCCCTTGGTGAAGTGTCTGCTGGAGAATGTTCCCACTGCCTTGTGCTCGAGCAGCAGCCAGGAGCCGGGAGCACAAATGAAGCTTTGTGCCACAGCTCTGACACCCTCTCTCATTTTTAAATGGCTACAGAAGAGCTCTAAAATTGATTCGGTAATCTGACGGAATTCGCCCAACACACAGCAGTGCTGTAGGAAGGTCCTGCTTCACTTGTCCCCCCTGGAGGGTCCTCTGCCTCTCAGAGTGAACTTCATTTAAGGGACCTGCTTTAGTGTGCTTATAAGTGGAAAAGCAAATTATTGCATTGTTAGTGCTGCTGTAGAACAAATCTCATCCTCAAAATAGGCATTTTAAGGAGAAGGAAAAGACATTTAACTTTATATGTTAATGTTAGAATGTTATTCCAAGCTATTTTGGAGCATGTCTTTCTGTCTGTCTGTCTGTCTCCGTCAGTACTAAAACAATGTCAAAGGTAGCTGCTATCTAAGAATAAAAAGCCGCAGGAATAGTGTCACAAGGTTTAAATGACATTCACCAAGTAGATTTTGCATTTACTTATTTTCTGTCTACCTGGAACAGAGCCCTGCTACATTTTCTGAGTTTAAAAGGTGTGTATTACTTCAAAAGTCTTATTTGTCCACTGAGGGGGGAAAAAAAAGGAATGTTGAAGGGAATGTGCAGTGATTGACCTTGCTAATTGTATCAAAGGTCAAAACCGGACAAAGTCATCAGCCACTCACTGTGACTACAAAGGCGTGGTGACGTTGGAGACATGGAGATAGGCTCCGTAAACAGACGGCGTGCTCACTGTTTGAACAGCTTTTAGACACGCATGTGTCTGCTCTCGTCTTGCGCTACCTCTGTTTAACCCAAAACACAAGAAGGATGTGTGCGAACGCACTGTAGAAGAGCTTCACTGTTGTGCTGTAGAATGCAGCAGGCCATTTGTGTAGATGCATGACCTCATATTGCTCTTGCCTTCATAGGTGCAAGTGTAACGGCCATGCCAGCGAGTGCGTGAAGAACGAGTACAATAAGCTGGTGTGTAACTGCAAACACAACACGGAAGGTGATGACTGCAGTGTGTGCAAGCCCTTCTATAACGACCGTCCCTGGAGAAGAGCCACGGCCGACAACGCCAACGAGTGCCTGCGTGAGTGTGAAACGCGTACACACACAAAAACACATTGTTCTGGGTCAGGTCCTCTGTCTAGCCATCACACCTTTGTCTGAGACTGTTTCCTGTTTGAAATTTCCCATTTAGGCTAGTAGTTAGCAGGAGTTATTCTACACTGCTTTAAGCCCCACATGTAGTTTCTGAAAGATGGTGCTAGACTGGGCTGCAAACTAGGGTATGCCCCTTCTAAACCTGACCCCAAATTTTTTAACATTCAAAGTATAAGCAGTACTACAGTTGAAAAAGGTAGGTAGCAAAGTGTTAGCATTAGATAATGGGTTTGTTTAGTAATGTTTATTTTTACTGCATATAAACTGCACAAGAAACAGATCTACATGCTTATTTGGAGGTCACTTTTGGAGGGGACTTTTCTTCCATCCTAACTTACATCCATGAGCTAATGATGGGCTCACTGTCCATCAGACAATGTTTATGAGCGCACCCCGACCACTACTTTGAGCTTGGCTTCATAGTGTTGGATTTGGGGTAGGCAACATGGCAAAAATACTATGAGTACAGTGATTTTTTTTGTTCAGTGATTTACATACTGCACTGCGCTAATCCAGGTAATAGGCTAAATGAACACAAACACACTAGCACATTTCCAGTACTTTCTATTAGCCAAATTTGCCTATTTAAATAACAGTAAAGTTATTTATAATAAAGTATTTAAATAAAGAAAAATGCCACCAGCTATTTAGCACAATGAGTCGTGCATAATTATGCTAGGACATTTTGCTAGCATAGTGTAGCAGCAGCATTCAAATACAGCACAAGTTCACTTAACTGCCTGTGGTTTTTATGACATTATGTTGCAACACAGATCAGCCAAAAAATCTAAATAATAAATCGGTCGATTGCATGTTTGGAGCAAACAAAATCTACCAATTCTGATCATAGCAGATCAAAAGTTGAAAACACCATGTTTTTTAAAATGTTTATTAGATTCTTAATTGTTTTAATGAAAAATTTTAATAAAACCACATATTACCCAACATCTTCCGTAAACGTTTATGAGCTTCGTTTGGTGCACATTTATGGCGACTTGCTTGCTAATAAAGCTCCCTGCTAGAGAAACTTCAGACTGCAAGTGATTTCCAAAGCCATGTTCATGTGCTAAACATGTTTAAAAAACAAGATGTTTTTTGTCATTATGGCAGCATTTCTATAATTCAACTAACCACCAAGACAAGCTGTGCAGTAAATACTGCAAATTTTACTGTGTAAATGTCATGCAGCAAGAATTTATGCTACCGTAGCCTTGCCCAATTATTACCTTTTTCTGAATCAAAGGAAACTTTCTGCCAAGGTTAGAGCTAGCTGCTGTGCGGTAAAACCCAGTCATTTAAGCTCGGTTCCATGCGCTCAAGCTAAACTTAATGTAAAGTAAAATTAGTAGAAGATAAAGAGCCGTGCGGTAAAGCTAACATTACAGTGCGTAGCAGAGAAAATTAACAAGCAGCTTCTTAACAAACTCTCTCTCGCTCTCTCATAAACAGACAAAAAAATGACTATTGGGTCGCATGCCTGCACGTCTTAAACGTGAACCCCAATTTCCCAGCATATTTACAAGCTGTTTAATGGTAAATTAGTCCTCTCTAGTACTTCTCTCAAAACGACAATAGCCGTTGGATTGCTTATCAGTCATCGACAATATCTGAAAACATCGCCCTGTCACCCAGGCCTAGTGTGTACCCAAACTTGTAATGGGCAGTGTATCTGCAAACAGCGTTGCAGCTCATCCTGATCATATTCAGAAGTATGTACCTATCATCTCTAAAACTGGTCCACAGCCACCCCCACCCCGCTCTGAAGTCTCAGCGTAAGGAGGAGAAGGCCAAAGTCATACACACACTCAGGCACTTCCTGGAAATGCATGACTAATGCTCACATCTGACTTTGGAGCCATCCAGAGCTCTTCGCTCCCACACCCCCGTGGCTCCTGCCCCCCTTCCTCTCCCATTTCATTTTCCACCCTCAGAGTAAGGCTGCTGGTCGGGGAGCATCCACATCACAGCTTTCTTTTGGCTCTGCAAAGCCATGACTGATCCTTGGTCAGTACTGCTGCTACAAGCTACATATGATCCATGTTCTCAGCTGCATCTCAAGACTGTTCCCACTCTAATGCCTGATGATGACTAAAGCCCATCTGTTCCCTTAGACTTCCATTCTTGCATCACATTTTACAGGCATTAATATGTCCCTTTAGCTCTTGAAAATGGATGCTGATGGAAAATGGGATGCAGGAGGCAGACATTAGTTACCTCTGAGATTTCAGGCTTTGCATACATAATTTATTTTGCGTTTTTACGTGATTTGTGCATGTGCGCACCTGTGTTTCAGCATGCAACTGCAACGGGAAGAGCGCAGAGTGCTACTTCGACCAAGAGCTGTACCGCAACACTGGTCATGGAGGCCACTGCCGGAACTGCGCCGACAACACGGACGGGCCCAACTGCGACCGCTGTCTGGACAATTACTATAGAGACGCATCGGGCCATCGCTGTCTGCCCTGCAGCTGCAACCCCGTGGGTGAGTGAGCTTGAGCCACCCCCTCAGCACCATGGGCTAGATTCGTACCCTTTAGTCTGTTAGCTGTGGTCAGTCTGAGTAGTTACGGCTCTAACAGTGTTGTATGTGGTTTCCTCTCTCTCTCTAGGCTCTCTCAGCACACAGTGTGACAACTCTGGTCGCTGCAGCTGCAAACCAGGCGTGATGGGAGACAAATGTGACCGCTGCCAGCCTGGATTCCACACACTGACACAGGCAGGCTGCAGGTATACACATCATCCCACCCCTAAAAGCACACTTAAGCTTGTCCCAGAAGGCTTCAGCTCCTTATAAGTCTGTGCAGGCATATCCTTATAACATTAGGATCAGGAGCACCCATGAACTGTCCCATGGCATAGACTCAAGTCTTAAGTCTTAAATCTGACTGACTGCTAAGTAGCAACAACAATAGTTTTTAAGGCAAGTATACAGTAAGAAAAAAGTAAGGAGAAAACTAAAACGGGTAAAATCTGTTAAAAGTGGGAGGCAGTATGTGAGTAACCAAATATGAAGTTTGTACCTGACCCAAACACAACATATTTGGGAAATGACGTCCAATCCTGACCATTTGGGCAAATATTTCAAGCTCCACCTCTGAGTATGTTGCATTTGGAGTGAAGACTTGCCTGATTAAACTAATTCTATACTGATGCTACTTTTCTTTGGTAGTATTTGCAGATCCATTAGTCAGAGGCTGTAAATCTTTGTTCTCTGTTCTTCTCTGTTGCATCCCCCACAGGCCCTGCTCTTGTAACCCTGCTGGAAGCACACAGGAGTGCGACGTCAATACTGGACGTTGCCAGTGCAAGGACAACGTAGACGGCTTCAGCTGTGACAGGTCAGACTCATTAACGCACATGCCCTCTCTGTCGCACGCCTGGACTGGCACATGTTGTTTCTGAAACGCCGTGATGCTGTTGGCACGCCCTGTAGTTCAGGAGTTGCTGGAGAAAAGGAGCAGCAGGAATGAGCCAGTTTGCATTGTTCTCAAATTAGATGTGAGTGACCAGCACTTGTGTGCCAGAATTAACACTGACATCAACACACAGATAAATCTGCAATAAAGATTCTCAGCACAGCTTGCCTTTCAACTCCTCCAGTTCCTTCGGGAGCTCCCAGTAAACATGGTTGAATTCTGCAGTTGTTTAAGAAACCTTTTGATGTTCACACTTTTTTCTTTTTTTTTTTATTTGTACATGGAAAGTCCCTCTGTGCGTGAGAGAAACAGAGAGACATCCAAGGGGGAGGAAGTATGCGTGTGAGGCAGAATTGGGGGCATGGCTTTCTCAGTGTCAGATGCAGGAGAAAATAGCTCAGAGATAGTGGCAGGCTCCTCACAGAGAGCCATGTAGGGCCTTCAGACAGACAGTCACCAGATAGCAGCTTAACCAAAACGTGTAACGCCTACTCACTAACCATACATTCCATCTTCCTATACCAGCTTCTTGCAGCCAGACCCCACACATTCACACATAGTTTAGATCGCTGCTTCTTAACTATCGTTTTGATTTGGTCTAAGCTCATACATCCCTCATGGCAGTATCTAGTTACATATACTCAGTTACATGTACTATTTTCAAGTCTTTATGGTTGTTCTTGTTTATATTTTTAAAGAAAGTAATTTACTTTAAGTCAGTTACATTTCAGTCATTAACATTTTAGTTACCAATTTATTTTTTAGGTTAAATTTCATTCTTGTGCATCGGTGACCACATCAGTACCGCTTTAGAATTGCTCTGACTTTATGCACACACAAAATAGCATTCAATTCAAATTTGGAAACTGTTGTTGTAACAATTGGCATTATAGCGTCCTACATAGTTTCCATCTGTGAATTTATAGCGTAGTATCATTGTGATAGATTAATTTTATACATTGATCTAAAGTTTTTCTTTTACTAAAAACCGGGACCCCAAACTTTTAAATTGTGATTTGATTTTAAATTATTGAATTCTAGTGTATATAAACAAGATATAGCACATCCTTTTTTTTGTTGGGAAAAAAAGAGTCTTTTACATCTACTTTAGTCATTATTTCACTGATGTAAAATTACTTTTACTTGAGCACACAGTCATATGCAAAAGTCTGGGCACTAGTCAAGTTATGTTTTGCTGATTTTATGAGTGAAATAAGGTTACACATCCTCTACAGAGATCACATTCTGCACATTTTAATGCACAATTACTATTTCCTATGCACATATTTATTTATTTTTTTCCAGGTTTGTGTGCTAACATTTTCAGGAAAAAGCCGTATTTAAGTTTGTTCCCTGTAGAGGGCGTGTTAGCTTATTTTCACTTAGAAAATCAGCAAAGCATGTAATTTGACCAGGGGTCTTGCATCTTTTGCATAGGACTGTAGATAAAGGGTGCTCCACCTACCTCTGTATGGCATAAGCCTTGACCAGTGCTGCCTCATTTCCTAAAACCTCCCATCTCTCAGTCTCCTCCCACCACCTTAGTATCTATGTGCAGATTCTTTCTGTCTTACACACACACAGCTGGTCCAAACATCGACTGGATAGTCCCTTTAGAAAACTGGGAGCATGAGAGAGAAAGATTATAGACAGCTGTTTATGTGAACTGGTCGAGCAAATGATGAAATGTCAGTGATATTGATTGACCTGAGTGTTGTTGCTCACTATGATGTTCACAAAGTTAAACTGTTTGCATCATGGACAAAATTCCCAAAGCCAAAATCATTTTGTCTTGGATAAATTCTGTATTTATTACCTGGCTTTCGACAGCAAGCCCAGCACAAGGAACTGATCAGATTTTACTGGATGCCAGAAGTAATAGCCTGTCTGGTTTAGTTTAGCTTAATTATGTTTCTTCACAATTACTTGAGATATTCTTACATGTGCTGGTAAGTTAAGAGCTCAGTTAATAACACGTTGCATAATTAGCATACTTCAGTTTTTGAAATAACAACCTGGTGCTGAACAACCCTCAACAGTCCTGAATGGGGGGGACAAAGGGGCAAAAATAGAGAAGATTATTAAGTTCATAGTTAGCTCTGAGCCTAGTGGAACTGCAGTGTTTGAGAGCAGGAATACTTTTATTGATCTGTAGAAAAACCCCAGGATCTGTGGACCCAGCAGCAGTCTTTTTGATCCAGTCTAGTGACTGGCATTTCAGTCAAATACGATATGTAAATTTTTAAAGCATTATTAGAAAAATATCACATGAATAGCCTCAACTTACTAAATGATGAGTTAGTTCCATTAACTGTGTGTGAGTAGAGTGTAAAATGAACTTGAGCTTCAGCTTGTTTATTGCTGCTTTCCTGTGACTTTTCCATTGATACTATTTTTTGGCTCATCCAGTGTGTGGAAGCCTTTTTTTGATGGCTGCCATAGAATTCTTCTGCTTCCTTCTTTAGACTGAACAGAAACTGAGCAAAACGTAAGAGGCAGGTTGTTTACGGCCCTCTGGTGAATTCTAGAGTTCAAATATCTCATCCCTTCTTGAATGTGAGAATGTACAGCTTCAAAAATAAGCTAATTTGCATATCAGGCATTCTAACGTACTGTTTTCATGACCATTCAAGTATTCAACAATGCTGATTTATCCCTATTTCAGCCCAGAAATATACACAGTAGATAACACTCTCAGCTTTAAGTTCAACAGATCTCAATTAATATATGGTCTGTTTTTTTGTTCTTCACAGGTGTAAACTGGGCTACTTTAACCTGGACCCTCAGAATCCTCAGGGTTGTACACCATGCTTCTGTTACCTTCATTCCACTGTGTGTGAAAGTGCGGATGGCTACAGCATACACACTATCACCTCCACCTTCGACCGAGGTGAGTCTAAACGTATATGCCCACCTAGATCCTTACGTGCGCACACAATATGGAAAAAGCATATTTTATTTCCTTTTTATTGCTTTCCAAAAATTGGACTACATAAAAACTATCATACAGCTGTAAAAGTAGTGCCAGCAAAGCTGAGCAGTATGTTTGTGCAGGTTCATACGTACTAAAGTTCTCACACATTTTCCTCCTGCTCCTGTTAGATGATGAAGGCTGGAAGGGCCAGCAGAGAGATGGCTCCAGTGTGCCAGTGCATTGGTCTGCAAGCTCTCAGGAAATCTCGCTCATCTCAGATGACTACTTCCCCATGTACTTTGTGGCCCCAGGTACTGCAGCTGCTGTCATGCACTACATGTCAAAGTGCTTGGATTTTTTGGATGAGAGAAAAAAAATGTTGTTACGATTTGTGAGGATCATTAAATACACTGTCCTAGCTTAACCCTTTTAAAGGACCACTGAAGTCATAATTTAAACCATAAAAAAATCCATATTAAATAATAAGCAGGCGTGTATTTTTTTTGTATTATTGTTATGCCCAGGAATCTATTAGAAATAGCATAGGAGGATCCATAAACCTTAACCCTTATTAAGAATGTCAAGATTTATGAATATGCATGACCATGCAAATTGTAAACCCCAACACCTGTGACTGTGTGCTTTAACTGGGCTTTAATAATCACAAAATGAGCCACTATTAGCAGACCAGCACTAAGAAAAACAAAGTAGAGCCAATTTTACTAGCACTAGCTTAGCCTCTGCCGCTACCAAGGACAGCGTAATGGAATAATAATGAACTAAAGGTGATTTGCGTAGCTAATGGCTCAACACAGAAAGACAATTCACTGCCTCAGATGAGTCTTTATTCTCAAAAGCTGCAGCAGTGAAGCCTCAGTGACCCAGAATTAAACCTGTGTTGTGTAATTATTTTGTGGCCTGCTGATGCTAACAGAGACAGCGGTTTATAGAGCTGTAGCATTGTAAGCAACTGCTACAAGTTCTGATCATCAGATCATAATACTCTATTAGCATATTTTAGTATATTGGACCATGAAGAAACTTAAGCTAAGCCGCTACGTAGCGGCCTACAAATCACTTTTTCCAGATGTATTGAGAAACTTTTTTTTTCAATGGGAAAAACACTGCACTATAGTGGACATACTGCAGTATTGGACATAAATACTTAGAAACACCTCTGTATACTCATAATAATATGAATATACATATATATATATATATATATATATATGTGAGTGTGTGTGTGTGTGTGTGTGTGTATGTATGTATGTACGTATTTATGTATGTATATTGATGTATTAAAAATAAAAAACTGAACTGTTTTTTACCTTCTTTATGTTTGTTCATTTACTATGTATCTCTAATGTGGTTTTCTTATTGTCTCCCATAGCAAAATTTCTTGGTAACCACTTGCTGAGCTATGGTCAGAACCTCACACTGAACTTCCGAGTGGAGAGACGTGATACTCGTCTTTCAGCTGAGGATGTGGTGTTGGAAGGGGCAGGGTCCCGTGTCGCTGTACCCCTCATCGCCCAGGGAAACACTTATCCTGGAGAGCAAATGCAGACTTTTGTATTCAGGTGGGTTTTCCTCAGCTGGGCTTAAACCTAAAATCAGATTGTGATAGTGATATGATGATATTGTTTTGTGCATCACAAGGACGTTAACATTAAAATGCAATATATGCAGTATTATCTTACTGTAATGTAATGTTTTTGACAGGCTCCATCAAACTACAGACTATTCTTGGAAACCAGTACTGAGACATGGAGAGTTTCAGAAGCTTCTCCACAACCTTACTTCCATCATGATCCGTGGCACCTACAGTGAGAGAAGTACGTAATCTCAGATCTTCTTTACAGTACAGCACAATTCACAGTTTAACCTTGTCATAACTCACCACAACTGCGTTTATACAAAAAACAGTGAGAGCTTATCAGTCAAGTCACAACACTGGCCTGTTTGATCCTTCATTAGGGCAGTCAGCTTTGGAATGGCCTTTGATTGCATTTGATAAAAGTTGAGAAGATAAATGCAAACGCAAGGTCATTAGATCAAGTCCTGGCCTATCAGACATAATCTACTGTTCTCTGTTGGTGTGTAGGTGCTGGTTACTTGGATAATGCGTCCTTGGTGACTGCCCGACGGGGTCCCGGAACTCCAGCACGCTGGGTGGAGAAGTGTACGTGTCCTCAGGGCTATGTGGGTCAGCACTGTGGCCAGTGTGCTGTAGGATACAGGAGGAGTAACCCAGAGCTGGGCCAGTACAGCCCCTGTGAGCCCTGCAATTGCAATGGCCACAGTGATACTTGTGACTCTGTAACAGGTTGGTCATCTTCAACCACCTTGATGCATGTTCTTATCCTTATTTACCTGACTGTGAGATAATGCATTCAATGAAATACATGGCGTTCTCATGCTTTGGCAGAGTGACTTGTGCTTGACAGTGGAATCATGACTGTGTGGTCCCAGACTGCCCCTTTGTGGCGAAGAGAGGGAGTACACCACTGATTATTCTGCTTTCCTTTCTTTGTAGGAATGTGTAACTGCCAGCACAATACAGCTGGGATGAGCTGCGAGAGGTGTAAGGATGGTTATTATGGCGACGCTACTGTAGGGTCATCGTCTGACTGTAAGCCCTGCCCATGTCCTTCAGGGGCCACCTGTGCAATTGTACCCAAAACGAAAGAGGTGGTGTGCACCAACTGCCCAACAGGCACTACAGGTACATTAGACTTGCAACGTCTTTGCTTGTTCATGTGTAGGAATGCCATCGTAAAGCCCTCTGTTTTAACTGTCTGTTTGCCAACTTCTGCCTGCTTCATTTATTGTTGTCAAACTTTTAGTTGAGGCTGCCCGGTAGCATCTGTAGAACTTGGAACTATTTTAGTAAATAGATTGATCACTGAGTTGTGGGTTTAATCCAAAACTTTTTCAGCTTCAGGAATAATGGAGGAAGGAATGTTTAGAAATGCTTGTGACTGGCTGAGAGGCATGCCAATCATAATTTTGCAAGTGGTCAGTTAAATAATGCTTATAGTTGATTTATGAAATTCATGCATTTAATGAGCATAGAGTTCCCGTAGATTAGTAAGTTATTTCGCGGAGCTTCTGAAATTCGCAGTGTCTTACTCCATGGCTCTTTTTCATGGCCAGGCAAACGCTGCGAGCTGTGTGATGATGGTTTCTTCGGTGACCCGCTGGGCACAAGCGGCCCAGTCAGGGCCTGCCGGGCGTGTAAATGCAGTGACAACATCGACCCTAATGCCGTGGGCAACTGTGACCGAGAGACAGGCGAATGCCTCAAGTGCATCTACAACACAGACGGATTCTTCTGTGACCGCTGTAAAGAAGGTTTCTACGGCAACGCCCTGGCCACCAACCCAGCTGACAAATGCAAACGTGAGTAGAATGGAAATAGGCTTGTGTCGCCTGGGTATCTACAGGAACAGTCACCAATGTGGTTTACGGCGGCTACAGTTAATGTAATGGAAGTCCTTCCTGACTTCATTGCTAGACAACACAGTTTTCTGAACAGAGATCATGCCTGTAGTAGGCTCAAAATGCAATCCTCAGTGCATTTTATGGTGGAAATAGCTGGTGGTGGAAATTCCCATTTACCTTTCTAGCTTGTTTTGCTCTCTAGCCTTTTACTCATTTCTCTAGATAGACTTAAGACTATGCCTGAAGTTGGCCCAAAACGCTGTCAATAGGTATTCTCCATTTTTATGCATTTAGATTTAGCCTAATATCCTAGATCAGAGCTAGTGAAGCCAAGCTGCAGTGTACTTTATATTGGAAAATGCTGAAATAATACTTTAATAAATGTAGCTGTAATTTCCAGCAGTTTATATGCCCACAATATCAAAACAGGTTTTTGTAAATATGTATCTCTCTCATTCGACACTCTAGCTTGTTCCTGCTCTCCATACGGCACTGTGGACCGACAGACCACCTGTATGCAGGTGACGGGCCAATGCCAGTGTTTGCCCCACGTCACCAACCGAGACTGCAGCGCCTGCGAGCCCGGCTTCTACAACCTGCAGAGTGGCAATGGCTGTGAACGGTACTTAATCACCTGCCTTAATCTGTTCCACCTCTCAGCAACACTTCTGATTTAGAATTTGCCATTCTATTGTGGTCTAATCATTTTTTTTTTTGTATGATTGGTCCTTAGGTGCAACTGTAACCCTATCGGCTCCACTAACGGCCACTGTGACATTGCAAGTGGGCAGTGTGAGTGTCAGCCTGGGGTCACTGGTCAACGCTGTGAGCGCTGCGAGGTCAACTTCTTCGGCTTCAGCTCCTCTGGATGCAAACGTAAGAGACTTTTAGTTCTCTTCTTACGTGTTGACCTTCAGGTTGCTAAACCGCTTAATGAGCCATAACATTTTAATGTCACTCAGTATCGAGTGAAGACAGTTTTTTATTGCTGCAACAAATAATTGTTTAGACTAAAACATGACAAAATAGTTGCCAGTGTATTTTCTTACCGATTTGTTGGCTTAACAGTGCTTGCTGCTCCCATCTAAAGTCACACAGTGTCATTAAAAAAAAAAGAAAAAAAAAGTGGAGACTGCAGTGCATGGGTTGTCCACAACTCAAAAAGCCAAAAATATGGCTTTACTTGTACATAATCTAAAATGACAGTTTCCTGTAAATTCTGGTGAAACCAGGCTCACCTAGTATGGACAATTATGTGAGCGCTGCAGAAGGTCAGCATGGTGAAGATACTAAAACCACAGTTGCTCAGTTGCACAGTTGCTAAGGCAAAAACAGCAATTTTAAATTAGCTCTCTTACTTTGGATTTCAAAATAGCTCCGTTTCCAAAGTGCAGCAGTAACTAATTACTTCAGATTTTGGTGTAGATGTTCGCCTAAACCGCACAGCTAAATTATTTTAGTCTGTTACCAAGTGTAAGTTTTGAAAGAGTAGTTTTTCTACACAAGCTGCAATTTAGGTCACTGAAAATGGAACTTTTGGAAGTTTTTGTGTAGACGTGCATCACTCATGCGCTTGGATAGTTAGTGCTATTTTGCTGTGTTAAGCTTCAGGAATCATGTCTGAAATGACTGATTACTGGGCTCTTTCTGACACGGTAACAGATCAGTTCAGCTTTACTTTATGCAAGGTGATGTAGAATCGACTTGCCCAGAGACAGCTGTGTAAGATTATAAGGTCCTGCTTTATTGAGGAGTAAACATGTCTTTAAAAGCAATGCAAAAGATCTGTTGCCATAAGGAAGCCCTTTTGTTTTCTTGCAAATATCATAGAAGATAGGGTAGGTGTTTTGTTTGAAAGAGCACTGCGCAAAAGGAGGAACAGTGCTTGTTTTCATTTTTTAAATAAAACGTATTATAATGCAATGTTAGAAATTGAATGTTAATTATGCATAACCAGGTAATAGCTCCAATTTTCCTTATTAATTGATTAATAAAAATCACAATTCATTGATTATGGAAATAATTATTACTTGCAGCCCAAACGCTAAGAATCTGAATCATGCCACTGAAATTACTTTATTGGCCAAGTAGAGTGTCAATTTGATAAACCTTCTCTCATCTTTGACCTCTCTCTCCTCATAGCCTGCGACTGTGACCCTGAGGGCTCACGGACAGCTCAGTGCAGAGAGGATGGCCATTGTGAGTGTCGTCCAGGCTTTGTGGGCAATCGCTGTGATATGTGTGAGGAGAACTACTTCTATAACCGTTCCACTCCTGGCTGCCAGCAGTGCCCCAACTGCTATAGCCTTGTGAGGGACAAGGTAAGACCTGTCTGACTGTAAAACAGCTATAATGCTAAAAGCAAATTAGTTGAGTAAATGTGTTCCTTTCCTTGTTGCTTGATCACATTAGCATGTTTAGACAAACTTTCACTATGTGGTACTTTCCACAGATATTTTAATCAGTAATTGGTCTGAACTAAAAAACTGTGCTGTTCAAGCTGCAAAGAGAGGATCAGATACATCTAAAAGAATGTATGGATCAACTTCCCATCTCAGCTTTTACTCCATAGCAGACTAATATCCTCATCCTCTTTCTTATTGTGCAGGTGAACCAGCAGAGACAGAAGCTTCATGAACTGCAGACCCTGATCGACAACCTGGGCAGCCAGGATACAGTGAGTGACAAGGCATTCGAGGATCGTCTGAAAGAAGCTGAGAAAGCCATCATGGATTTACTGAGAGAGGCTCAAGCCAGCAAAGGTACAAACTGTGACAGACTCTTTACTTTAAACATTGTTTTTTTTATAAGGAGAAAAATAAATGGTCCTCATTTGTTACTCATTTTTCCCTTTCTCTTTTTAATCTTGCAGATGTGGACAAAGGCCTTTTAGATCGTCTTAAAGCCATCAACAACACGCTGACGACCCAATGGAACCGCCTGCAGAACATCAGGAACACTGTGGACAACACTGGTACTCTGGCGGACAAAGCCCGCAACAGAGTGCGTGAGGCTGAGAAACTGATTGACCGGGCCAGAGAGGAGCTGGACAAGGCCAAGGACGCCATCAGCAAAGTGGTGCGATATTCTTGCTGCTAAGATTTTTTTATTCTTTTTGTTCTCCTGAAAGACTAGTTTGTCAAAGTTAATCATCGGTTAGTATTAAATAAGGAAAAATGTTTATTCGTGCTCTCATTTTGATAAACATGGTTCACCTCACAGGATATCAAAACTCCCACGACCACTGGAGATCCCAACAATATGACACTCCTTGCTGAAGAGGCTCGCAATCTGGCAGAGAAGTAGGAATCAGAATGATTTAGTGTTATTATAGCACAAATGATTTATTACATGAAACTGCCTTACTTGATAGTTTTTGGTTCCCTGACTAGGCATAAGACGGAAGCTGACCAGATTGAGAAAACTGCAAAAGATGCCAACGACACCTCCACCAAGGCCTACAACTTGCTGAAGAAGACTTTAGATGGCGAGAACAAAATCAACAGTGACATTGATGAACTTAACAAGAAGTAAGTGTGATAGAAGCATAGAGGTGATAGCCTGCATACTTTGTCTTTCACAGTTGTGCATTTAAACAAACTTGCTGCGTTTGCTCAGGTACAATGAGGCGAAGGATCTGGCAAAGAACCTGGAGAAACAAGCCAGTAAGGTGCAAGCTGAAGCAGAGGAGGCAGGAAACAAAGCACTGAAAATCTATGCCAACCTCACCAGCCTGCCACCCTTTGATGTCAAATCATTAGAAGTAAGATACAAGTCATTGAGTAAAATTATGTGTCCTGGGATCTCTGTAAGGCTAGTTAAAAGTTGAAATTGTCATCGAATGTCTCTGTCCAGTGGTATGTCTTTCTAGGTAGATATATTGAAGACAAAGAGACGCTTATAAGCATCTAAATGACACATGTAACTCTTGTGCTTTTAGGATGAGGCCAATAAGATAAAGAAGGAGGCGTCAGACCTGGATAAGCTTATTGATAAGACTGAGAAGGAGTACAATGATCTGAGAGACGACCTGAAGGGTAAAGAGAACGAGGTTCGCAAACTACTGGAGAAGGGGAAGACCGAGCAACAGGTATGGAGGTTACCATTTTCCCATCCTTGGGCTGACAAACACTGTTGAGTGGGGTGTTTCTTCCATCTTCTTCTTTCTCTCTGAATTATGATTACCATTATTATAAGCAACAGACCAAAACTACTGTGTGCATTTAGCAAATTTAAGCCACAGAAACGGCTTTTAGATGGTGTGAGAAATGAAAAAGAGGCAAAGAGTGAAAGAGTTGAAACCAGGCAGCAGGGAGGTCTTGATTGGACAGTGATGAAAGACAAGGGAGATAATTGATGTAATTGAGCTAAATGTCTGACTCTTTTATGAAAGAGCTGATCCCTGAACATGCATGTTGTAGCGAATCAATGTGCCAGATAAAAAAGAAAAAAAAAGAAATATGATTGAGTTTTGCTCTTTGTACATTTTGGTTTTTTTCAAGGTACTTAAATACTTCTCTACCTTTGCTTGTGCCTGTAATTATGATTCTGTTCAAAACACAGGAAAGAGCTCATTTAGATCTCTTTAATTCATTTGGTAAACAATTATACAACTATGTGCAGCCACTAGACTTTGTTTTCCCCATTCCTTTCTTTATTTCTGACACCTCTCTCCTTTGTGATGTACAGACAGCTGATCAGTTGCTGGCACGGGCAGATGCAGCTAAGGCCCTGGCGGAGGAGGCAGCGAAGAAAGGGTTGTCCACATACCAGGAGGCCCAGGACATTCTCAACAACCTCCGAGGTAACTGTGTGGTCTGTGAGCTGTTTACATTTGACTAGGGCTGCAGCATATTGAAAATTCTTGATACATTTGCTAATAATATATTGGAAAACTAAAAACCATTCAAATACCTGACGCTTCTGCCACTTTTATGAACCCATGTATTTCTGTGAGAAAACAGATGTTTGTTTATTAAGTCAAATACTAGCTTGTCACCAGTAGCACACAGTCGCCAGGTCAACACACTGGACTGATTGAAGTTTATGATTTGGGACAACTTGCCAGACAATCGGCCGTAACTCCCAAGTGTGTCCAGATAAGTTTTGCACTGCTCCAGATTGCTAGCTAACTTGTTCTCAGTTATTTTTAGTTATTATCTGCATGTATTACCAAGAATAAATGACAGTGTGCTCTCTAGCTTTCCAGACTTGTTAAATAAATACATAAATATATATTTTTTTTAATTGTTCAGACTACACAGAGTGTTAAAGATGGCATGACTTTCATTGGGGTGTGCTCTGGTATAAAGCATTTTTGAAAGACTTAAAAGCCTTCATCACTCCCCCGTTCACTGATGAGTTGATGAATAAGTTGCTTTAATTTTTAAATCATGTCTTTTTTTTTATTTTCAACTTTCTTGCACTTTCTTTCTGCGCTCTTTCTCAGCTATTCAAAAGGAGCCAGCAATCTGTTCAGGGTTTCCAGATTATGTGTAGTATTTTAAAATTTTTTTTTATTAAAAATCTAAATAAATACACAGAATTTATGCAATATCAGAAAAAATCAGCAAATAATAATAATAGTAAGCAACAATAAGAATTAAAAACAAATCCTTTCAGGTTATTTAAGTGAAATGTCTTTAGCTTTGGTCATTTTTATAGGATGTTCAGGATATTCAAAATATTATTCAGTATTCAACAATGAAAATATACAGTAGTTGCGAACCTAATTTGAACATTCTGTGACGTCATTAGATTTGCATGCTTCCTCCACTGTCCCTAATGCTGTTGCGTTGTTGTCGCATTCATTACCCTTCTCTATGCCTGTTTTGCTGCAGATTTTGATAAGAGAGTGAATGACAACAAGACTGCAGCCGAGGAGGCCATGAAGCGTATCCCAGAAATCAATGCAACCATCAATGCGGCCAACGAGAAGACCCGGCAGGCTGAGGGGGCGCTTGGCAATGCAGCAGCTGACGCTAAAGAGGCCAAGACCAAAGCAGAGGAAGCAGAGAAAATTGCCAGCAATGTTCAGAAGGTATGCTCAGGTGTCCAGATACCACAATTGGCAGGAGAATATGAGGATGCACTAAGCCACTTGTGCAGACCCTTGAACCAATTCTCTTGTCTTGGGCAGGGTTCAGCTAAAACCAAGGTAGATGCGGAGAAGGCCTTTGAAGACACTATGAAACTGGATAAAGAAGTGAACGACATGATGAATCAGCTGGCAGCTGCAGAGAAAGAACTAGGGGCAAAGACAGAGGAAGCAAACCAGGACATGATGATGGCTGGTATGGTAAGTACAGCCCAGGGCACTCAGAAGACGCCTTTTGAAACGCTGTCAAACACACTCTTTCATTGTTGTCTGTGGAGCAATGCACACTTGAGAAGCAGTCCTTTACCTGACCAGTGCTTTGCATTTTTAAACCAGGGCATTTACAGCGGAAGAACTTTTCTGCTGAGCGGAAGAACAGCATAAGCTATCCACAGTTACCAGCCAATATCGAGGATGCCTTCTTTTTAGTCCCTCATCCAACAAGGCGGAGAAGAAATTTTTCAGACACTCAAGATTAACCGAACATGAAACAGCTTTTTGTTTAGTGTGATGATTTCTCAAAACGTTGATCTTTCGCGTTCTCTTAAATTGTTGTCTCGTGTTTACCTACTTGTCAATCATATACGTTAACCTGTGAAGCACGTCCTGCTTCTTTTTAAGCATGAGAAGCGGAAAGTCCCGTCTGAACAAAATCAGGCTTTACACGATGAACTTTCATGCAACTAGTTGCATGTTGAGTTGCCTGCAACACGATTTCCATGCAGCTTGACAGTTACATAAAGCAAATCAAAAACAAGGTTGCAGACAACACATTCTGTTACTCCGCAAGTTAGCCAAGATTTTAGATGCACATTATCATTCTCACTGAAAAGTCACCTGCAAGGTGTTATTTACATATTTGCAGAATTTTTGTCATCTTCCTATGTTTTTTCAACTGTCATTGCCATTCATTTTTTTTATATATCTATATATCTGTCTGTAGTTCTTCCATTTTAACAGCTGTTGGTGTTAGCTGGCTTGTTAACCAAGCCCGTTACAGAAACTTTAGCTTCAAGAAACTCATGTTTGTTATGGTTTAAACAGCTGACAAAATGAAACCAACCTCAGTTATTATTATATTTAGTCAGTTATTTTCTCATCCATTGATCCAGTGAAGCCATTCATTTGAAATGACGTTACATGTGATCATGTGATGTTATCGTCTTTTTTGGCTGTTCCATAAAACTTGGTTCACAAAGTTTAGGTGCTTTCAGCTGTTGCAGCTGAGTTTCAAGTGAGCTGAAATACGCTCTACATTATGCAACTCAGGTGCACTTTAATTTCATAGTTTTCAAGCAATTGTTCCAGGAAAGTTTCACCGTGTAAAGCCAGCCTAAGTGTGGCACATGACTAAAGATGCTAGGCGGAAATAATCACATTCATGTTCATTAGTACAGTTGTGGATGATCGACATGTTTATGCACCTGGAAAATAGGGAGGGGTAATTATCTATAGATCCCTTAAGAGCTCCTTAAAATGTGTCTTGCTGTTAATTTTCTCTTTCACAGGCATCCGACAATGCGAAGAAAGCAGAGGAAAACGCCCGCAAAGCCAAAGACGCTGTCCGCACAGTACTCGGCACAATCAACGATTTGCTCAGCCAGCTAGGTGAAAATGCACACTGTTTACCGCATTCATTAGTGTATTAGGGAAGACTTTCTTATTCTCTCACTCAACCATCTGTCCTTTGTCCACCCAGGCAACATCGATAAGGTGGATCTGAGCAAGCTGGACCAGATCGACAACTCGCTGAAGGCAGCCAAGGAGAAAATGGCTGGGAGTGAGCTGGATAAGAAGCTTAAGGAGCTGAATGACATCGCCACGAGCCAGGAGAACATGATCAAAGACTATGACAGGCAGATTCGCGAGATCCGTGCCGACATTGACAACCTTAATGACATCAAGAGCACTCTCCCCGAGGGATGCTTCAACACGCCGTCTCTAGAGCGGCCTTAACCTCACTCCTCCTCACACCATGCCCCCCCTCTTCTCCTTGTCTGTGCCACACTTTTCGCCATCTAACACTTGGGGCAGGATGCCACCCTTTACCAAAACAGCTTTGTGTCTTTATTGCAAATCTATGTTTTGTTTCGTTTTGGTTTTTTAAAGCTTTTGTTTTATGAGAGAAGCCACAATTTTCAGGCCATTTCCACGTTTTACAAGATGATGAAAGCAGCTCCTTTTTTTGGATATGCAGCGATGCTACAACGTGAAGAAAGCTTTTAAATAAATGGCTCACACCGATCGTGTGTGCTGGCTCGTGTGAGTGTACACTGCAACGGGCTAGAAGAGGTGGCCTCTCGAGTCGAATGTGATCCCACATGACTGCACCACCTCCACTTCCTCCTCCTCTACTCTCCAAGCTCGTCCGCCCTCAGAGTCATTCTCCTGCCTTCATTCGAAGTGCGACGGAAGGACCGGAGGCCGTCTGTTCGCTTCAACCAGAGGATGCGCTCTGGTTTTATCGGCCCGCTTGAGGAGGGGTGTGATTTTTGTAATTTTGTTTAAGCTATTGTCCAACACTCACTACATTACTTTACATTGATCACCGCTTTCATTGGTTCAGAAAACGGACAGTGAAGGAATCTTCTGCTGTGTCTTCGTAATCTGCCTCTCCTCTCTCTAAGTTACAAGCCCCATCTTGTGATGGTCGTGCGGAGAGAGTTAGTAACACTTCAGTATTCAGCTTGACTCATGTCAGTCTACCGGCGCATAACCATAGACGGTTATGTGCAGAGTGGCGTGTGGAGTCCTCGCTAGGCTCTCTTTGTATCAAGTGGGTTCATACAACTCAGTGAAACAGCATGGTCTAAATGCATTTCATGTACTTATTTTTAACACTACAAGAACATGTTTATATGTTGTTTTTTTTTTTCTTTTTTCAGAAGCTGCTGCTTACTTACAGGTGTACTGCAAATCACGTTAACTTTTTTTTTCAAGGCAAAATCCAACACTATGCAACTTTGTACATTTGCGTAGCAAGACTTTTATCTGATACACTGGTGCTAATAATTATTTCAAATGTTATATTTTTGTGTGAATGTTTTTTTTTTTTTATTATTATTATTATTATTATATAGAGTGAGGATTTGTTATTTGTGTAAATATATGCTTAAATGTTTCAGGAATGGCTGATTTTAAAAAAAAACCCCAACCAGCCACCTCATAGGTAATTTTACAAGAAAAATCAGCTGAAACCTCCACCTCCATAATATATAAATATATATAAGTTCTGTGGTATAATATGCTTGCTTGTATACATGGCTCCGTTTTGTTGCCTCATAGCTCCGCCACTTATTTTAATTGTCTTTAATTTTCATTGGGTGGTTAACAAGTTGATGGATAATGCTTTCATAAGAATCCTCTCTTCACCCTTAACTTGACTGTCGAAAACAGTCTAAACACGTACGAAGTCTAACATTTCAAAGAGTATTTTACCAGGATTGTTTGTTGGGTCACACATTGCTAGTTAATCAGCTTTGATGGTGTTTGGTGCCTCTAACATTCAGATGTAACCCTCAGCCCACTCGGCCCAAGGCTTATGTTATTTTTATACATGGACATCACATAAGTTGCACACGATCTGAGATCTTTGCTAAACATACTTCTGATGTCCTTGGTTCTTAAAAGCAGGCGGATAATGTAGGGGTCCACTACCGATGCCTTAACACATTTTAATTTGTTTTTTTTTATTTGTATTTTTATTTGTCAGATTTTTCCTTTTTTTTTGTTTTTTTTAATCCCCCGCCTCATTTCCAGTGCTTTTCCATTTAGTCTCTTGACTGTACTGACTTTGAAGCTACCACTTTTAATGGCGTATTTTGTGGGATGTAACTGTGGAATCTGTCACCAAATTGTTTCGAATGGAATCTGTTCCATTGCTCACCCGACCACTGTGGACGAAAGTGCAACATGTACACAATTATGTATAAAACAGTATTTCTAATTTATAATGTATCAAGTATTTTTGGTCTTTTGTTTCTTTAGTATGCGTATGTGTGTGTTGCACAGTCTTTGTTGGTTATGGAGAGTATACCGATTTTTAAAAAATCCCACCTTCTTCCATTCATTTTTAAGGCACTCCTTTCACAAACACTCTGATGGACCTGAGAAACTCCAGCTTGTTACCCATTTTGCCTGTAAATCCAATTGTAACATTTGAATAATAAACCGTGGTTATTACAGGACCTTCGAATGTGTGGCCATGCTCATTTGATAAGATCAATAATTTTGCATAAAGTTATGGTGTGACTCAGTGAGCAGTCTGGACAGAGTTGATTCATGTTTCAAAATCAGACCTTATATACACAGCGGTTGGAGCTGAGGCTCATCTAATGTGATTCTTAAGGTGCCACAGATTTATTAGTTTAGATTTATATTGGAAGCTTGTTTTTATTTTTGCAATAAACAGAAACCTCTAATGCAGGGTGGGCTCTAGCTTTTTGGGGGCCCTGAGCAGGATTTTCTTGGGGCCCCCATCTTGTTAGCTGATATACTGTAAAATTAGAGGCTGACTAATACTGACTACAAGTTGCCTAAATTATATACATATAAAACTGGCTAATCTCTGAATTGATCATGATGGATGCTGGTTTGGGTTCTAATAAGTTACAATAAGTTAGAATTTAAATGAGAGAATCTACAGAAAACCTCAGCATTTTCAATCCAGGAGTCTCTCACAAGGTAGTATTTCTTGCTTATCCAGCTAACTTGAAGCTTAGTTGGATCTAACCTTGGTGGCCATGATAACAGCATTTGCTTTTTTTTTTTACTATTATAAATGCTTTTACATTAGACATGTTCAGGTAGAATCACTTTTCTTCTTTGGTGACTCCATGTTTCATGCGATCGGCTGTTTATCAAAACATTTTGACAATTTTTCAGTTGTTCTCTCTGCTCTATTGTACACTGTTTTTACTACTTTAAGGTGTATATATATATATATACACACACACACCGATCAGGCATAACATTATGACCCCTTTTACCCTGTTCTTCAGTGGTCAGGACCTCCTTGGGCCCTCACAGAGCAGGTACTATTTGGGTGGTGGATCATTCTCAGCACTGGTGGTGTGTTATTGTGTGTCGTGCTGGTACGAGTGGATCAGACACAGCAGTGCTGCTGGGGTTTGCAGAGAAACAGATGGGCTACAGTCTGTAACTGTAGAACTACAAAGTGCACCTTTATAGTAAGTGGAGCTGATAAAATGGACAATGAGCGCAGAAACAATGAGGTGGTCATAAAGTTATGCCTGATCGGTGTAAGTGTGTGTATATTTAAAGGCCAAAAACATTTAATAAATATATGCATTTCGTGCTAGAAAATAATGAATTCAATGTACACATCTCCCTAAAAATTGGTAACAGGGTTGATTTGGTGGGAAAATAACATTTTTAAAGAGTTTCAAAGCCTTTAACCAACTCTATTCACGGAAAGTGCCAGTAGTCTTACTGGCACAATAACAAAAAGAGCCTGTTGAAAGGATAAAGAGAGGTGTGAAAAGGCCATCTAAAATGAACATTTTTGGCACATAAAACTACATAAATGCTTAACCAGGATCAGTTGGCTCTCATTAAGGCAGTGCCAGCACTTGAGCCGAGAGGTACAGAGCTCATTGCTCCGCCTCCCCGTCGCTGCCCCGCTCCACAGCTCAGCCACCGGGAGTGAACGTGAGGCACGGTCTAGTGGCCTCGCTGCGGAGAAGGAGGTGGGGATCTGGACTTCGTGCTCGTGCATGTCGTGGCTGTCGCCGTTCTCCTGCCCTCTCTTGTGGCTGACGTCCTTCTGCTGCTGTCACTCGCAACTTTTTGTTGGCACCACTCTCATGGCCGTCGCCGGCACCTGTGTGTTGGGCGACTGGCATAACGATTTCAGACACTAGTGTTAATGTTAATGTTAAACGGATTTACTAATTAATTACAAAGAACACTGTGCATTATGGGTAAACTCTATCCGCTAGGGTACAATGTTCAGAGAACTTGTAGAGAGGAGAATTACTGCTCTGCAATGTCTTCCGGTTTTCTCAGACACTAGAGGGCGCTCCGGAGCGAGTCCAAAATGAATGGGTTGATATGGCGCATTTGAGCAAAATCATAGTTTATAACTGCTTAAACATTTTTAATGTTAAAAAATGCAATAATTTCATGAACACTGAACAGCATAAAACATTTTAACACCGCTGTTATATTTTTAAGAGCTTTTAAACTCGAGCAGGCAAAGAGAGAAGTGTACGTCGGCTGTAATAACATTTTAAAATAGATATTGACTTTAAAAAGATTTAAAGACATCATTTACGATTTTAGTTTTTAATTACAGTGGACGTATTCTTAAAGTATCCTCTTTTTTTTTAAAGTAGCTGTATTCTAAATATTTTTATATCATATGTATTTTAAAACATATTTATAGAGTAACAGACATAAGTAAAATTTGTAAAACAAAATAAGAAAAAAATGTAAAAATTAAGCCTAACTTAAGCAAGTGAGGAGAACATAATACAAAACCCTTTATTTGAAGAGAAGTGATGAAAAATAGGAGCTAATTAACAGAAACCAACAGCCCATATAAGAATGCTGGGAAGCTCCACCTACTGACCCAGTGTTAATATTATTTTCCAGGTTTCTGCTGTTTGAGATTCAGAATTTTTTGACTGTTTGCAAAATTAAGATTGACTCTCAGCCAATCACAATCATCTGTAAACATTCCTTCTTCCGTCAAGAGAAGGAAAAACTTTGACAGAACTCTTCAAAACAAACCTGCAGTGAGAACAGTAGCAGTACATTAGTTAGAATTACTATACTAAGCTGTGTATACTGGACTCTGTGCAGACTCTTGCAAGACTGTCGCAATTCCTGGTGACAGTAACAGTTTTAATGCTTTTTTTAAGGTTAAGTCCAAATCAATTTCCTGCTTCTCTGGATTGCTAGCTAGTTACCTAAAGTTGTGTTTGTTACCGAGAATAAACAATGGCGTGCCGGAGTTCTGACAAATTGTGCTATGTTGTTGAAACGTCCTACCATAGCACGTATTTATAGGTAACTCCATACATAAAACTGTAGGTAGGATATTTTGGCAGCGTAAATCTCCTTATCAGAAAACATTACCAGCATTAAAAGAGCAATTATGGTATTTTGGTAGCCATACCCCCCGTATCAGAAAACGTTACCGGCATTAA